AGGTACATGCCCTTAGCGGGAACCGAACCCGGGTCTTTCTGGACCGCAGGCCGATGCTCTTACCGCTGAACCAAACCGGCCAGGGCTCAAAGACTTACCTTTTAATAGACGTTTTGATGCTGTACAATTGTCACACAGTGAGACAGCATGTCTTTTGTCATGGAAACTTCAGCTCTTTTATTTTACTTACATGTTGGCACTATTTGGCATTATTTTGACTGTTTTTTGTAAGAGTTTCCTGCTCTGAGATCTTTATTAGTTATGGTAGGCACACCATTTCTTATCTGAAAACTAAAAATGCTGATCCTTTTTTTGCAAACATCCCTTAGTGCTGCTTCTTATATATAAGAACATAATAAGTCTATAAGTAACTTCTTGGATGAATCGATAAGTGGATTTGAGTTAAAGAAATGTTGAATACATTAATTTTGTACATTTATTATGTGTCCTCATAGAACTTACTTTCTTATAAGGCTGCAGACACAAATTAGATAATTATAGTTCAGTGTATTATGTGCCAGAGTGGAAAGATAGGGAATCATAGGAGCAAATCCATCTGGTGGTGTCAGGAAAAACTTCCTAGTGGTGGTGGTCCTTGAGCTGAGCCTGGAAGGAAGAGAAGGGGTTTGCTTAGTAGACCCTCGGGACATTCAGACTAGTAGAATGTCAAGTGTCAGGACTACTGAGACAGAAAGATTGAATATTGAGGGCTTTTAAACAAATTTTTTTTAAACTTAAAGTAGTTTTACAGCATTAGCTGAATTTTAAGTAGAAACTACACAGTCATGAGCAAGATAATTTGTCTCTCCATTGTGACTGTAATAAAGTAAATATTTACTCTCTATGGTTCCTGGTTTTCGGAGGGACCTTTCTATGCTTTCTTGGACAGATAGCATATATTAATGACACATTACAGACCTGCACATGTCTTTTGAAGCCAGGGGAAAGAAACAAAGTTTTCACAGCTATTAGTAGCTTCTGTTTATTGCATGCCTAAAATGTACCAGAAAATTTACACCTACTGAATTCTTCCCCTTACAAAAGCTTTGTGAGATAGGCATTATTTATCCTTATTCTCAGATGAGGAAACTGAGGAAGAGTTGGTGAGAGACTTGCCACATAGTTAAAGTGGCATACAAGAATCCCAGGGCTGTCTGACTGCAAAGCCTGTGCTCTTTCCACTGAGAAGAACCTTAGTAAAACCCTGGAGTTTGGCTATTGAGATTTTACAAGAGGATAAACTTGTAAACACACACACACACACACACACACACACACACACACACACACCAGTTGGGGGTAGTAGAATATAATATTCAATCTATAGAATGGGCAAGAAGTTTCACCTTGAAAGGTCTGGTGCAGTTTGGCGTGGAGGGTGACCAAGAGCCCTGCAGAGCTTCCATGGCCTAGGGCCGTGTGCACTGGCAGGCTCCTCCACCAGGGAGCGCTGCGCCAGGCCCTTGTCAAAGAAAAAGAAGGTTTGGATGAGGGAAAGAATACTTGGCACTTAGGAAACAACGTAGTGTTGACATAAAATTGCAAAGTCTTAGGTAAAACATCTCTATGGGGTCAGAGATTGAGAGATGAAATTTAGTGTTGCAGAAAAGAAAGTGGGCTTGGCACTGAATTTGCCTCTTATCCTTATAACATTTCCGGTCCTCATATGTTGAGGTTGGTAAGCATTTTGTGTGGTGAGTGAAGAGTGGTGCTTTCTGAGTACAAAGGCCCGCGGAGGGTTGGGGAGGACAGGTAAAACACGCTCTTCCCTCCAAAATAATAATGGGTCTGCGGCTTAGGATCTGATCCCTGACTGTTGTGTGTTTCATCAACATGTGTCCAATCACTGAACAAGACCTTTCACAGGGTAAGAGGGCATGCCCTCTGTTCAGAGGCCCACAGCTTCCCCTTCTTGCGGTAGCAGAGGACGCAGCCGCAGTGGAATTTTCTGAGGCCTGCTTGGAGTGGACTGCCAGCAGAACTCTTCCAGAGCCTTCGCTCTTGTTTGGTTGAACCTCTTGGTGGTGCAAATTTGACATTAATAAGGATGATTGACTATAATTTTCTACCTACAGTTCTATAAAATTATAGGCCTATAGAGCAGTTCCCTTCATTCAGTCTATGGAGCAGTAAACATCCCTTCTTTTAGCCTTTCTCAAAGCTCCCTTTAGCTCATTTGAATGAAAGGAATCGACTTTTCTAAAGAGAGAGGTTGGTGAGTCACTTCCTGCAGAGACCCCGCTTCCAGCTTTTTTCCACCTTGCCTTTTGCACCAGTTATGTGTTTAGCTTGTCATTCTGACGCAGTTTTTCTGCACAGTTCAGCTTTGATTCTTTCTGGGCAGCAGCACTGAATATCTCCCTGGAGATAAAAGTTTTTACTCTTTTCTCTTTTAAGGCAGAAGTCTCATCAAGTAGGGGAGGATACTGGCTAACAGAATTTACTCTTTTTGTCCCCCTTTGCCCTTATTTTTAATACTGTTGTCACTGGAACCTTTCTCACTCTTGGCTTATCCCCCAATTTTTGCCTCATCCTCCAGGAAAGTAATAGTCTATTATGAAATATTCACAGCATAGCTGTGAACTTGGCTCTGTGAGCACTGAACACAAAAAGAGCTTACCAATGTAAGTGCTTTCGGCTCTGCATCTGAGAGTTCAATGTACCTAGGTAAAAAGATAGTCAGCCTACAGGAAGATATATAGTAAGTTGTGGCAGAGACAAATATTTGCTGGAAACTGAAAAGCTTTCCTGAAAAAACACTATGTATTTGCAAGAATCAAAGAGAAAGAGGCTTTTTTTCTGCTGATGTTTAGCATCTGTAATAGATGATGTAAAGGATGACCCCTTTTCTCACTGGTCACTCTGATTTTTCTTCTTGGGCTCCAATTCCCAGAATTTGTGAAGGGAAAGGCGGGTCAAAGTTGATAGCACTGCCCACAGCTGGCAGTCAGGTGAGGACTGAGCAAAACCCTCTCTGGAGTTCTCCTAAAGAACTCCATTTGGTGATGTGTTGTTAAACAGTAATTAAAATCCAGAGAAGACACATACAGTTGGCGCTCGTTTATCACGGTTAATCAGTTCCAGACTCTACCGCGATCAATGAATTTCCACAAAGTAGGATTCTTTATGTATACAGTCATTCCTCGCCACTTCGTGCTTCGACTTCCGTGGCTTCACTCTATATACTATATTTGAAAAAACCACGATAGGGTGAAGCCACGAAAGTCCAAGCGGGAAGTGGTGAGGGATGACTGTATTTCTGTTTTGAAAGTAAGACCATTTATTTGTTTTCTGTAACCCAAAAGGTTATTTGTAAAGAATACAAGATATAAATGTCTCTAATGAATTTGGCCTGGGTCGGAACCTCTGTTCTTGAATAGTATCAGTCATTGTATTTCGACAGGAAGGAGTGAGCTTTCTCAAAAGGTGATACACAGTTGAACTTGAGTCCTTCCGCAGGGTACCAGCCTCTCCTGCTTATTCCTCCCCTTAGTGTCTCTAGCATATGGGTTTGGTTTCTAATCTTATTTTGCTGTGCAAGCTACAAAAATGTCAGGATTTTCTGACTGTTCCTCTGCCTTCTGATTACCCTTTTAAGCAATGCTGATTGCAGGAAATTGCAGTGGTGCGAGGCGGTGTCACAACACCGTGATTAAAACCTGGGTGTCATTCACTGCCTGATTGAAGTAATCACATGGAGGAAGAGCAGATGAAAAACCTCTCAAATGTGCAGAGGGGGCTGTTTCTCATCATTTGGGTTTAAAGATTTTGAGTTAAAGAATCAAAGCTAATGTGAGTTAGTCTTGTGTTTTTAGTCATTTTGTTTCATTCTGAATCTTCAAAATTTCTGAGCAGGGTCTGGGTCTCTGAATGTTGTTTTCCAAAGGAAAACAGGTTTTGCTATTTACCAAACACAAGGTCCCCTATATACATGATTATAAAGTAGTGATTGAGCATATCAAGGGGAAAGATACTAGAATGTCAATGGGATGAACAGGTGAGAAGGAAATGGGAAAGGTCCCTGTAGCTCAGCTCTACAAGACGGCCCCTTCCACCCCCCACCCCCTCTTCAGATGCCAGTGGAAAATCCAAGTGGTCACCTGTCCTTCTGATCGACCAGCTATAGATTGGAACTTACAACAGCCCCCTCCTTGGGTTCAATTAAGTTGCTAGAGTAGCTCACAGAACTTAGAGAAACATGTACTTAGGTTTACCAGTTTATTATAAAGGGATAGAAGAGAATAGCCAGATAGAAGAGACACGTAAGGCAAAGTAAGTGGGAAGGGGCTCAGAGCCGCTATGCTCTCCCTACACCATGTGTCCACCAACCTCTTGGATTTTTATGGAGGCTTCATTAAATAGGCTTGATTGAGTAAATCCTTGGGCATTGGTGATTGAACGTTATTGCCAGCCCCTTCTCCTCCCCCAAGGTCAGAATCCAGGGGGTAGGACTGGAAATTAGGACCCTCTCATCACAAGGTTGGTTTCCCTGGCACCCAGTCCCCAGCCTTAGGTTATTTAGGGGCTTTCCAAAAGTCTCCTAATTAACATAACAAAAGATATTTTATCACTCTCCTTACTTGGGAAATTCCAAGGGTTTTAGGAGTTCTGTACCCAGAATGGGGATGAAGACCAAATACATATTTTTTATCATATAAATCACATATCACCACTAACTTATTTAAATTATTTGGTTGTTCTGAAAAAGTATTAGTCCCATTTGGGCATTACTATTTGAACTAGATATAGTGGTCAGTATAGAAAATACATCTTAATATTTGAAACTTGATTTCTGTGTAAATCATGACCAATCCCATTCTCTTCCCGGCTTCTACTCTTTGCGTCCTGTGTGTGGCTGAGCCTGGAAAGAGTGGGTTTGTGGACTCTCTTTAACTCGGGGCATTGGATCATCAGTCAGCATTACTCAAATGAAGAGCATTGTGAGTCCAACACTGTAACAGGTAACCACTAATGATTTCTTATCTCTTTGTCTCCCTCAGGTACAGAACCCTGGCATTTCTATTTAATTAATGGATTTCTGAATTTTAATGTAGTCTTTGTTTTGGCTCTCCTGGTCTTACCACTGACTTCACTTATGGAATACCTACTGCAGAGATTTCATGGTGAGTGCCACAAGGGGAGATTGAGTTTTTTGGGAGGAAAGAGCAAGTAACAGTATACACCAAGAAATGAAAAAGAATCTGCTTATTTATTCCCCATTTTCTCCCAATGGAAATGGTTGGTTATTGATTTTTTTTATCGGATTGTGTAGATTATTTAGACCCCTGTGAAGATTTGGTTAAAAATTGCAAGTTAAACTGACAGGGAGGAGCTTTATATCCCTTAAAGTGAGGAAGTCAGTATAATTTGCAGATCCACTCAGAGAGGCAAAAACACTTATAAAATCTCAGAAGGTAAGCCTGTTTGATTGTGTCTTCTGTTTTTTTTTTTTTTTTTTTAATCCTCACCAGAAGAGATTTTTCTCTTTATCATCAGATAGAATGGGAAGGAGGGAGGAGGAGAGAGAGAGAGGGAGAGAGAGAAACATGTATGTGAGAGGAACACGTCAACTGGCTGCCTCCCACATGACCCCAACTAGGGCCGGGACAAACCACAACCAAGGTACGTGCCTGTGACCGGAATCAAACCCTCGACTCATTGGTCTGAAGACTGATGCTCTAACCGCTGAACCAACCCAGCCAGGGCTTGTGTCTTCTGTTTTTTAAAGAAGTGTGTGTTAACATAATCAGTATTAGAGGCAAACATTCTTTGGGAAATTACTTCCACCCCAAATCTGAAAACTAAGCCATTTAGGGATTCCCCCAAACTGGATACTGAAGTGAGAGAAGCTTTGGACTTCCTAAAAAGCATGATATTTCTCTTTGCTCCATGTTGCTTTGCTTTCCTCACTGTGGAAAGCTTAGGTGGTCATGTGTTTTGCTCACTCTGTTTCTGTATTGTATAGCCAGTGTTTTCTTAGGTTGCCATGGCTTTGTGTAGCTAGTGCCCATAGATTCTTTTATGGAAGACAGATCTGAGCAGACATTCATATGAAATTTAGAAAGAGGTTTTATTTTAGACTTTTTAGTCTGATTTGGATGCCATATGATTGAACCCCTCCACCCCACCCCTTATTTAGCTTGTCTACTATACATGATTTATGAAGAGTTTACTGTACTATGATGATAGAATAGGAGGGCAGCCTTCAGAGTCACTTTTGTTTTGTGTGAGGACTTTTGTTTTAACATAACCATGTGCCATTATTCTAACAAAATTAAGTCATTCCTTATATCATCTAATATCAAGTTGATATTGTCTGAAAAATAGCTTTTTACAGTTATTTTGTGGTTAAAGCAGGATCTAAACAGAGGTCATATACTGAATTTTGTGCTATGTTTCTTAAGCCTTTTAAGAGGCGCCCTACTCTCACCACTTTTCTCCTGAAGACTTCTAAAGAAATTAGGTGGTTCATCTTACAGTGACCCACGCCTGGGCTCAGCCTATGTCCCACTGAGGTGGAACTCAGTGCTCCATTCCTTGTATTTCTTAAGGATCACTTTTTTTATAAGCGTCCTTTTTTTCTTTTTCTTTTTACTATTAAAATAATTTATGCTTGTGGAAAATTTGGAAATGCTTGTAAGTATAGAAACAGTATATTAAGCTGTTTTCTACAGTATGAATCCAATTTTGGTTTAAAATGTATAATGTACACACATATCCACCTAGTAAGAAAAGGAGTGCTTTCTGTTTTTATTTATACTTTTTGTGTATTTTATTATAGGAACAATACTTTTTTAAAAGAAAAACACATAGAAAAATAGAAAGAAGTTGGAAAGAAACTACTCATTTATCCACATAACCATATATAGTACAACTGTGGTTATGATTTTGAATATTATATGGAGGACATTTCAAAGTTAAAACTTTGAAAGGCCATATTAAAATTATATTTGTTAGCCTTTGAGATACAGAAGAGAAAATGATTGTTTAAGAAAATTCCAACCTAAAATACTTCCTGGGAAGCGATCAATTCTAAATTATAGCCTGAAATCTCATGATAAAATTTTAGAGTGGAAAATTTAAAAGATAAGCTTATTGTAGTTCAAGAATTTTTATCTCTGAAGAGTTTCTTCACATATACAGATAACTTAGGAATGCTCAATTAGGCATCCTAATATGGATCTTTCTTTTAATATCAGAAAAGTCTTTTTTTGTTGTTGTTAATCCTCACCTGAGGATATTTTCTTCATTGATATTTTTTTTTAAGAGAGAGAGAAACATTGATGTGTCTCACATTGACTGGTTGCCTCCTGCACATACCCCAACTGGGGCCAGGGATTGAACCTGCAAATCAGGTACGAGCCCCTTACTGGGAATCAAACTGGAGACCCTTCAGTGTGAGTGCCGGAACTCTAACCACTGAACCACACCAGCCAGTACAAAAAATCAGTTTTTAAAATTTTTATTCTAAATTGGATTTTGATGACAATCATATTATCTGGATTTGCTCATTGTAGACATTGCGGACACCAGGTGGCGCTTTCTACCTACCATTTGCCAGTGATCCTATGCACTGCTCTTGATATTCATACAGTCGGCCCTCGGTTATTGCAGTTAATCACTTCCAGACTCTACCACCATCAATGAATTTCTGCAAAGTAGGATTCTTTGTTGGGTTTTTTTTTTTCTTCACCAGATTCTTTATTTTATTTTTAATTTTATTTAATTTATTTTTCAGTTACAGTTGATGAACACATATTACATTAGTTTCAGGTGCACAACCCAGTGTTTAGACATTTATATAATTTACGAAATGATCACCCCATCTGACACCATATATAGTTATTACAATATTATTAACTATATTCCTTATGCTATGCTTTATAACCCATGACTATTTTGTAACTACCAATTTATATTCCTTTTTTTTTTTTTTGAATCCTCGCCCGAGGATTTTTTTATTTTTATTTTATTTTTGTTTTTGTTACAGATGTTTCTCCTTTTTTACCCCATTGACACCCTCCTCCCCATCCCCCCGTCCCGTCCCTGGCTTTGTTGTCGATGTCCATTGGTTATGCATACATGCATATAAGTTCTGTGGTTTATCTCTTCTCACCCCACAAAACCCACTCTTCTGAGGGTTGTCAGTCTGTACCCTACTTCCATGTTTCTGGGTCTATGCTATTCCTCAGACTGTTATGTTCATTATATTCCACAAATAAGTGAGATCATGTGGTATTTGTCTTGTTCTGCTTGGCTTGTTTCACTTAGGATAATACTTTCCAGGTCCCTCCATGTCGTCTCAAAGGATAAGAGATCTTTCTTTCTTACCGCTGCATAGTACTCCATTGTGTATATGTACCAAAGCTTTTTTATCCATTCATCTACTGATGGACACTTGGGCTATTTCCAGATCTTAGCTATTGTAAATAATGCTGCTGTGAACATGAGGGTACATATATTCTTTCTGATTGGTGTTTCAGGCTTCTTAGGGTATATTTCTAGAAGTGGGATCACTGGGTCAAATGGAAGTTCAATTTTTAATTTTTTGAGGTAACACCACATTGTTTTCCATAGTGGCTGCACCAGTCTGTATTCCCACCAGCAGTGTACTAGAGTCCCCTTTTCTCCACACCCTTGCCAACACTTGTTGTTTGATGATTTGTTGATGGTGGCCATTCTGACAGGTTGAGGTGATACCTCATTGTTGTTTTAATTTACATCTCTCTGATGATTAGTGATGTTGAGCATTTCTTCATATGTCTCTTAGCCATTTGTATGTCCTGTCTGGAGAGGTGTCTATTCAGCTCCTCTGTCCATTTTGTAATTGGGTTCTTTGTCTTCCTTTTGTTGAGTAGTATGAGTACTCTATATATTTTGGAAATTAACCCCTTATCTGATATATCATTGACAATGATGTTCTCCTATACAGTGGGTTGCCTTTCCATTTTGATGGTTGTTTCTTTTGCTGTGCAGAAGCTTTTTAGTTTGATGTAGCACCATATGTTCATTTTTTCCTTTGTTTCTGTTGCCTTAGGTGATGTATCAGTGAAAATTCTGCTGCGTATGATGTCCGAAATTTTGTTGCCTACATTTTCTTCTAGAATTTATGGATTCATGGGTCACATTTTAAGTCTTTTATCCATTTTGATTTAATTTTTGTGTATGGTGTAAATTGTTGGTCTAGTTTCATTTTTTTTGCATGTAGCTGTTCAATTTTTCCAACACCATTTATTGAAGAGGCTGTCTTTACTCCACTGTATGCTCTTGCCACCTTTGTCAAATATTAATTGAGCATATTGCCTTCGGTCGATTTCTGGGTTCTCTAGTCTGTTTCAGTGGTCTATATGCCTGTTCTTGTACCAGTACCAGGCTGTTTTGATTGCAGTCGCTTTGTAGTATAACCTGATATCTGATATTGTGATCCCACCTACGTTGTCCTTCTTTTACAAATAGCTGTGGCTATTTGAGGTCTTTTTTGGTTCCATATGAACTTTTGAAGTATTTGTTCTAGTTCTGTGAACTATGTCATTGGTATTTTGATGGGGATTGCATTGAATCTATAGATTGCTTTGGGTAATAAGGACATTTTAATGATGTTAATTCTTCCAATCCATGAACAAGGTATGTGCTTCTACTTTTTTGTATCTTACTCTATTTCTTTTATCAATATCTTGTAGTTTTCTGTTAATAGATCCTTTACTTCTTTGGCTAAGTTTATTCCTAGGTATCTTAATTTTTTTGCTTCAATGGTAAATGGGATTGTTTTTTCAGTTTCTCTTTCTATGAGTTCATCATTGGTGTATAAGAATTCCGTCGATTTCTTGACGTTAACTTTGTATCCTGCTACTTTGCCAAATTCATTTATTAAGTCTAGTAGATTTTTGATGGAGTGTTTAGGGTTTTCTATGTATAATATCATGTCATCTGCAAATAATGACAGTTTCACTTCCTCCTTTCCAATTTGGATCCTTTTTATTTTTTCTTCCTGTCTGATTGCTGTGGCTAAGACTTCCAGTACTATGTTAAATAAGAGTGGCAAAAGTGGACATCCCTGTCTTGTTCCTCTTCTTAAAGGAAATGATTTTACTTTCTGCCAATTGAGTATGATGTTGGCTGTAGG